CCGTTTAATTATCACATAATTGAAGTGAAAGATATGTATAAGATTGGGCAGATTGGGAATAGCATGAACAAGAAGAGAGGGGACAATGGGAGCTCAGAAGCCATGGAAGAGGAGGCTAATGACAAGGCTGTGGATGGTGGAGCCCCAGCATTTAGATAGGTCTTTGCTGTTTTCTTCCCTACGTGGGCTGACCCACTTTTGGAGCTGAGAAACAGAAAGGGATAGAGGAGCAGGCTTCCATGCGAGAGGGGCTGCCATGCCAGCCATGAGGGCTATGGGCTGTTTGGAGAGATGCAGCAGGCAAGGCTTCTCTTCATCCTCTGGTTCTCTTTGGAAACACTGGGTTCATGTCTTACAACAGTGCTACTCATCCATTACCTGTTTTCAGCCTACCTTCTGTACCGGTAAGAACAGTTCTGAGCATCCATGTTCACAGTGTGTAGAACAGACACACTATGGAATCAGATGAAAAATACAATTTCTACAAGAAATTTTCACTCTGTACAGAAATATTTGGAACAAACCATTCCTACATCAAAGATGATGTAATTCCTCCTTCATAATTCAAAATACAGAATAAAAGCAACTCAGAAGCAAGACTTTTAGTTGGACAGACTTTGGGTTAAAAATCTGTTTTGGGAATTGATGGGGAAGTCCTGTGTATGTCAATAAAGCACTGTTGGCCAATAGGGAATCAAGATAGGTGGGACTAGGAGTCAGAAGGACTCTGGGTAGGAGAAACACAGGGAGTCACGATGTAGCCTGCCAGAGAAGTAAGATGTCAGGAACTTTTCTCCGGCAAGAGAAATACTTAGATTAACAATTATGGGGCAATTACTTAAGGCAGAGTTAGCCAGTAAGAAACAAGCAAGGCCAACAGCTTCATAATTAATACAGCGTCTTGTGTGTTATTTGGGGACTAGCGGGGAAAAACCAAGAGGCTGACAAGAAAAAGGCTTCTCTCTACAATTGATGGTTAGGAGTGAGATCATTGAATTTCCACGTAAAATGACCAAAGCTTTAGAGGAATTTTAGAAACAAAAGAACAGAGAAAAGCATGGATTCTTGGTAGCAGCATTTTTCTCAGGTGGGCTGTTTTGCTAGCAACAAGCAGAGACTCATGCAGCTCCCTTAAGGGAGTATTCCTGACTCAGCATAAACAAACAAACAAAACACAAGGTTCTTTTAAGAGGCTCTGCTAACGATTGAAAGGTGTGTACGCACAGCTGGAAGTGGCAGTGACCACATCTCCAAGCCGGCAGCTTTTGCTGGATGTCAGACTGAGACAGTGAGCTGGAATCATGCTTACGCCTGCCATCTTGGAAAAACTGCAGTTTAAACAGCCTCGGTTTTAACAGATGAGGCACGTGGCCAGAAAAACAAAGATTTACAGTAAAGTCAGACTTGGATGAAGAAAAACCTCTAAAGGTTTACAGTGTGTTTAAAAATATACAAAGGATTGAGAGAGAAAAAGAAACAGGATAGTGGTAAATGAATAGAGAAGCCGGCTGTGGTGGCACATGGGGGTAGGATTTGCTGCAGAGGCAGAGGCAGGCAGATTTCCAAAGAGAAACCCTGTCTCAGAGAAAAGTAAATAAAAGTAAAAGAAATAGAGTAATAATAGATAAATAAATAAGCCACATAAAGATGGAAAATACACAGAGAGTCTGGATACTGTATGCTATTGTGTTTTTCAGTTTTTTGATTGCTAAGGAAGGAACAACTACTAAAGTACACTTGATTATAAATGCTGCTGAATTAATTCAACTTATATCTGTTGAAAATGCCTTGACTTCAAAATTTAAGTATAAGGATATGTTACTTTGGAAAAGAGTTTTGTTTATGTTTCTACAGAAAACGAAAAGCTGAGGATTCCTTCCAGGCTTCTGTGGTTTGATGAACCAAGACCCTGGAAGCAATGGCCCAAGTGATTCAACATCTAAAACAGCTAAGATGATGGAGCCTTAGAGACCCTAAAAACAAAGGACTTATACGGGCTTCTGAGTTTTGTCATGATCCCCATGGTATGAACAGTGCCCCCCCTTCCAGCACGAAGCAGTTTAGAATGAGTGAGGTCCAAATCCCCATATTGTTTATAAGTCTTTGTTTTCATTTGAATGGACTTGCTTAAAATTGGTTAATGATCACAACCAATCTCTTTTTAAAGGAAAAAGGGGATTATGGTATGGAAATGAGTACTTTGTATTGGTATGGTTTTTCATTTATTGATACAAATTCAAGGTCAATTTTGTGATGTGTATTTTTCTCCTCTTGATTAAGTATTGTGCTTATACTGATCTTTTAAAACATAATGCATAATTGAATATAGACTATAGTTACTTATATTAGTCAGAATTTATAGTTAGTTAGGTTTTCTAGATATACAGAGATATATTTGAGATAGACAGTCTTCAAACCTTTCAAAGACCTTCAGAAAATGGCATTTAAAATGGTTTAGGGTTTTTCTTGACAATGAGAAATGTCTGCTCCTGGCAGCACCAATTACGTCTGAGAGGAAGATGGGCATCGATGAAACTCGTTATGGAGTTTGCTTTCAACATGGCAAGATTAGCCATTTGGGCAAGAAACTGCTCTTGCCTGGACTGTTTGGCTGTTGCTGTATAAGCTGGACATGCAGGACCCACAGGAAAGTGACTGCTGAATTCAAATAGTCCTTCAGGGTTCCTGCTTCATGGAAGAGTCTATGAGACTTTCTGCAGGACACAGAAAAATGACTGACAGACTGCCAATGCAGATGGACAGTTGGAAATTTCCTGCTTTGTTGAAAGTCTTCCAGACACATTGTGGCCTATGGGCTGAAGATGGATGCCCCAACATTACAGAGAAACTTCAGGTGACTGTTCAGGTAGCAAGATGTCTGTCAATCCTAGTGTTTATATGTTATCCTTCTGTGGTCTTTGATGGAGTTGGAGACATAATTATAGTTTTCCTTAGTTATGATGAAAAATAAGCTACATATAGAACTTTGGACTCACAAGGATGGTATGGATGACTTTCTTTAAATCTTGCTGAATGTTGTTGGACAAAATATTGTAACTATGTTCTTACTTGATAACTGTTCCGTTATATATAATTTGACTGTTAAAGTTAAGACCTTTCTTTTTGTTTAGACAGAAAAGAGGAGATGGGGGAAGTCCTGTGTATATGTCAATAAAGCACTGTTGGCCAATAGGGAATCAAGATGGGTGGGACTAGGAGTCGAGAAGGACTCTGGGTAGGAGAAACACAGGGAGTCACGATGTAGCCTGCCAGAGAAGTAAGATGCCCGGAACTTTTCTCCGGCAAGAGAAATACTTAGATTAACAATTATGGGGTAATTACTTAAGGCAGAGCTAGCCAGTAAGAAGCAAGGCCAACAGCTTCATAATTAGTACAGCGTCTTGTGTGTTATTTGGGGACTACAATGTGGCAGAGCCCAGGTGACTGATGGGGAAAAACCAAGAGGCTGGCAAGGAAAAGGCTTCTCTCTACAGGGGATGGGGTGTATATCTATATGTATATGAATGTGTCCTGTTTTCAAATTTCAGAGTTAAAACCCCTAAAACCAATACTTACCCCTTTCCTATTACCACCCTCCAACACCCCCAAAAGAAAACTTGCTGAAACACTGCAAAGTTAGATGCTTCACAATAAATGAAAGCTCACACTATATAATCTCTTAAAATGAGCTTTTCATCCTTTCCACAACATGAAACTGTTATGGCTTAACTATATTAAAGGGCTAACATGGGTGTTCTCTCATCATTCCCCACCTCATATATTGAGGCATGGTCTCTTGCTGAAGCTGGAATTCACTGATTCAGCTAGTGTAACAAGCCAGCCTGCCCCAGGGATCCAGTTTCTACATCCCAACTGCTGGCATTCATACGGTTGCTAGGCATCCTAACTCAGCTCTTCCCACTAGCCATCTCTCCAGCCCCAAGTTCTACTTAACGGTAGGTGAACTTGGACATGATACTTACCTTCTCTATACCTTGGCTTCACTTGTACAGGGTATAAGGCAGTTCCTATCTCACCGGGATACTGTGAGGAAGAATAAAATATTCCCTGTACACAGTGAGCCCTCATGATGAGGTAACGGGAGACTTGTGATCCAAATCCTGTATGTAGCAAAGCACCTGGCTCTTCCCTCTTAATCTGAAGGAGTGCAACACCAATAGTCTCTGGGATTTATTTACTAGTCCCACAAAATCAGGCTGAGTTTGGGAAGATGAGGTATGCTCATCATTTCACTGCTATAATAGGTGACCATTAGAAAAACTATCTCCTAGATCTACAAAGAGTTTCTCAGGAGCATGTTCCTACAGTTGAGGTTTGTCATCCGCTGTAAAGGAAGCTGCAGTGCTCCAGTGCACTTCTCTTCTGCAGGGGAGAGGAGGTGCCAAGGATCCCAGACCTTCTGCTGCCTTGGTTCTCATGAGCAGCACTCACCCAAGGCTTCCCTGCAACACGTTCCCTCCTTTCTGATGCCACTCCCTCTCCAATGCACACACTTGCCCTTTTTATCTGACCCTGACCTGTCACAGCAGGCCCATGGCCAAAACCATGCCCGCCTCCCCTCCCAGGATCTGATGAGATGCTTTCCTTCCTAGTAGTTGAGCCTTACTTCCCGTACCTCTTTTGTCTCACAGAAGCCCAGTGGCCGAGTATTAGTTTGCACTCCTGGAACCCTGCTGCTACAACAGTGTCTGGCCCCCTGCGGGTGGCTAGTGGACACATACTGGAATCCCAGATGGGAACCGTGCATGCTCTTGAGAATCCATCCCTAAAGAAGTAAAATGTTTTTAAAAAGGAACTGGAGAAGCACCACATCTGTCTCCACCCTGAGGTCTCATCTTGACAATCACTAAGTCACTCTTCCCCTGCAATACCTCTAATGAGATAAGACATTACTTTTCACATTTGAATCCTCAGTAAGAATACAACAGTTTTCCACATACTAGTGTCTTGAGATTCAGAAAAAGGGGACAAAGTCAGAATTGGATATAGAATTCAGGTTTTTTTTCTTCAGAGACACAGTTTATACAACTTTCAACATTTATACTTTTAAACAAAATGAGCAAAAAATACACTGAGTGCTAAAAAATCAAAACAGAAGTAATACAATTTTAATTTCAATCTTTAAAAATACAGAAATCAGGAAGTAAGAATTCTAAATACAACTTTAAGCAAGTCACTTGTCTTCCCCTATAATAATAATATAAGCTACTTAAAGACTTACAAATTCAGAGTAAAACAGGAACAAAATAAATACTGTACACTTTCCCTGCCTGCAGGCAAAAGATGGGAAATACTGTTCTGAATAAAACAAATGCTCTCAAAGCTCCAGCGTCCCACTCCCAGCCACACCCCATTTCACTGTCACACAGTGTGTTTCTGTAGTCAAAAGGACACATTGCACACACACTGACTGCCTACACACAGATGTAACACTACTCTGCACACACCCCAAACAATGAGAGTAACAGTCACCAGGGACCACGGACATAAAAACCAGTAAGGAAAGTCAGGCTAGCAAAACATTACTACAAAACTAGTAAGTACCAGAGCCAACAACTGTCCTGTTTTCAAATTTCACAGAGTCAAAACCCCTAAAACCAATACTTACCCCTTTCCCATTACCGCCCTCCAACACCCCCAAAAGAAAACTTGCTGAAACACTGGCAAAGTTAGATGTTTCACAATAAATGTGAAAGCTCACACTATATAATCTCTTAAAATGAACCTTTTTATCCTTTCCACAGCATGAAACTGTTATGGCTTAATTATATTAAGAGTAGAAAAGTCTTTTCCAAAGGAAATACAGTCCGCGAAGATGCACGTGCATTTCCTATCAGTGCTATTTCATACATAACAACTGCATGACTTGCCTGTGCGGTCAAGAGCTGCTTTTGGAAAAACTGAGGTTACAGCATTTGATTCAGTCTAACCATAAACTGTAAGGCCCTTAGTTTGGTTTAGGTTTCTTTTGCAAGATAAAATAACCTTGGGGTTCACTTAGCAAGTTACACCTCAGGTCCCTGACTATATTGTATAAGTTATATGCATGCTTTGTGAAAATAAAATGTTACTTATGAATCTTAGGAGGAAAAAAATTATTCTAGGCAAGGAATCAACTCTACTAATGCTAATGCCGGCATTTCTTATCAAACAAAATCCAAAGAAATATAAGCATATGTCTTGGTTATTTTATTCCTGCAAAATAGTATATATTCGAGCACTTATGATAATTGTTTTGGTAAAAAAATATGGAGGGAAAATAGCTGATTATATTGAAAAGAAAAAAGCTACTAAAGACAAACCTTTTAAGTTACATTTATGACTGCTTTCTGTAATGAAGTGAATCTAGAGTATCACAGGTCTTGCATAGGTAAACTACTTGGAGGTCGAGGGCTACGTGGTAGCCAGGGTTTCATTAATGAATAGTGCAGAGCAGGTAAATTTGTTGGAAGAATCGCTGGATACATCCTTTAAAAGATTTTAAACAAAAAGTGTAATGTCACAGTTAAGACAAAGCCGTAAGAAAGTAAAAGGGCACCAAGGGTTATGGGAGACCTAAGGGCTTCTCCGGTGCGTGCTATTTGTGTCTCTCCTGTAAAAAAGGGGAGACCTACTACAGAATACTAAAACCATGGGAGTGATAATATGCCAGCTGCTTTGAAAATAGACATCTGCTTTTTTAAAAACTTTTTATGTTTATAGAAAGGGTATCAAATATTTAACTTATAGCATGAGAGCAAAATAAAGAAAAGGCTTAGGAGTTAAGTACGAAGGTTAAATATGCTCAACCGCAGTTTAATGAGCACACTAATTCATTTTTCTGTCTAGCTTCAAGAACATATACGGACAGCATCCACAAAACAAGTAGAGGCTGCAGTGTCAAAGAACACGGTCTGTGTAAGGAAACAAAGGATCAGATTTCAAAGCCGCTGTGTGTCCCTAGGCAAATCTCTCTCCTATCTCAGTTACATTGGTCACTATTACTGACTAGCTTTTCCTAGATTCGATGCTTAATTTTTTGAGATTGTATCAGATAAAAGTCTAGGGTACCATTAACAGTCTGAAAGCCTTGGCTCATCTTTGCTGTCTTTGTGGTGCTAGGGATAAAACTCAGGGCAAGACCTTCTCTCTTACACACGAGAGAAATTAGTTTAATATATAATGGGAAAGACGAATTTGAGGAATTTTTACATTTGCATTATGAAGTTTCTTATTTCTCTATGTGAAAACTAGAGATTCACATTTGCTATGACAGTTCTTTCTAGCAGCAGTACACTAGGCCATACGATGATTCCCACCAGTTCTCGGGGACTGTCACCACGGCAGAACATCTTCTGAAGCAAGCTGTGACACCTTTCCACACTACCCATGACCTTCCTCTCCCTATGCTATTGGGACCTAACTCAGAGCTGTCATTGCCGAGTTCTTCTTCCTAGTCCCTATTTCCCCCAGTTCCATGGGTAGCTGCTACGTCATTATAAATTCATCACCTGTTTTATCTTTTGTACCTCAAAAGTATGTCAAATCTGGGAACAGCACTAATTTCTCTTTGAGAGAAAACCTAAAGCTAGGTCTTCTGCTGTGCTAAATAATCTTCACCAACTTGATGAGCGCTCTTACTCTTGTGTTCACAAACCAGCTCACTTCTTGTTCTTGCACTTCAAGCGCCTTGTTAGGAATGGCTCGGGGTTCCGTAGCACGCTCTGGCGTACAGCACATCAAGTGTGGTGCATAGAAGCAGTTCTCACTACGTAGTTCTCTACGGGCGTACTCATCATCAGCTGTAACTCAATAGTTAACTGCTGTAATGCTTAACAATGCTGGTCTTCACTGAGTATCATCAAGTGCTTTTTATCAAAACTTACAAACACAAAACAAGGGCTCAGAAGTAAAACTCAGAATAACTTACTGACTCCGGGCTGCTCAGCCGACATACGGCAGAGCATGGACCACACACAGGCCTTTTGCTTCCCTCCAAGCTTTACCACGGTCACAACCTTTCGTCACCAACAAGTTACTGGCTTGTGGACTTTTTCTTAAACGTTAAAGAAGAGGGATCTTTTTTTTAACACTTCCACCTGTACAGTGGATGTCTCAGTTGAAACTAATGAAGTTAGACTGTTGTGTTTTGCTCTCTTTTACAAATGCTCACCTTCTGCTCAAGTATGCTTGAAGTGAAAACAATACCGCTAGCCTCCTGGAGAAGACACCTTCACAGGCAGACAAAAACTAAAACTGAGATTCCTCTACAGTACTAACTAGCTCTGGGCACATGATGGATGTCGGATAAATACCTGATCATATGAATAAATACAGTGAAATACACTGAAAAGCAATTAATTAGGATGAGCAAAACACAGAATAGTATTCACCTAGTATCTAAGTATTAAGCTAAGTTTTTAACAAGTCATATAGGTGGACTTGTCTCCTCTGAGTTTGTGGTTTCAGTAGATGGTTCAATTCTGTGAATTTCAATGTATTCCAAAGATCCTGAACTACTAAGCTGCCAGTTTTGTATTGTTAACTATTCACCAATACTGGAGAGCATGATATTATCTAATGTTGTGAATTACAGTACAGTAGATTCCAGGCTAAGGGTCACTTAGTTGAATTACAACAGGGTAACTACTGCTATTAAAGCTGCATGGTGATCATTAGTTCTCAGTTTTACATTTTATCTGCTTATAACTACTAAATGCTATCACTGCCGTCTTCTTACTTAAGCTGTGGTACACTACTTATAAATGAGACTACCTATAACTGTTGAGCCCAGATCCTGGCAGTTCACACCTCAAAGTCCAGCCATTTCTATGGGATAAAAGGACACACCACAGTTGGGAACTATATAAGAGGTCTGACTAGAAAAGTCACTGGCTGGCTGCCTGAATTTTTATCAACTCAGAAGATACATGGATTCTTACTTAGTGGCTATATTAACTTGCTAAAGTTTTGTAATTTAGTCAGTTTTGGGTTAAAATGATCAAAAATGAATCCACAGTATTGTTACTTAAAAATTCCAAATACTGGTAATAACTCATAATTAGTGTTTATCAGCCTAAAGACACAGGGTGGATACTGGACACAATTTTAATTCATAAAAATAAGGTTTTAATTTTTATGATCATAAAAAGTAGCTAAACTACTTTTGTTGTTAAAAAAAATCCAAGTCATTATAACTGAAGAAAGAAATCATCCTGCTTATTTCCTAACACAAAATAAAAATGTGTATTCCAACAAAAGAGAAAGCAAAGACATCACAGTGATACATTGTAGGAAGGTGAGGGGCCAGTCAATCCAGAGTTTTGCATCTTGAGATACAACCAGTGCCTGGACTGCATTCCTCTCTCTAATAGTTATGGCATAGTGCAGGCAGGGGTTAGAGAGGCTTCTACAGATACTAAGAATTCCAAAAAAGTCCTCCCTGACACCCAAAGTGAATTGAAACTTGGGTCCAGACAATCTAGACCAAAATGGTGAACTCATAACTTCCTTATCTCTTGAAATATTGTAAAAGACACAATACTATTCCTCTTTGGAAATACATCTTTTGAATGCAACTATGAAAGGTACATAATTCTTTTCTTACAACTTAATGCCTAGTGCAGAAGGAAAAGTCCAGCTACTTTGTGGAGTGAGAAAGACGAAAGTCCATTATATAGTCATATTTCTCCAGAAAAATAAATTTCATGTCATTTGTCTTTGTAGTAATTTGTAAAATATGATACCATCAGACCCCCAGTATCAATTTATTTTAATGCCATGAGGGGAAAATAGGGAGACTAAAAGATACTAAAAACTATTACAAGCAACTGAAAACTTGGCATTAGTGAAAGTTGTTTATAAAGGATATAAATAATTATCTTAACTAAAGCTCAACCAGACACTTAACCTCCATATGCTACTAGCCAAGACAGATGGAAGAAACTGCAAAAAGCACCCATTGTACTCCAAATATGTATTCTTCAGAAAATTAACACACACACACACACACACACACACACACACACACACACACACACAGATCTATTCCACATGCTTGCTTCTATACAACTTAATATAGTATAGTCCTATTGTATTACAGCTTTTATGCAGATTTTAACATCATAAATCAAATTGTATTTCTAAAAAACTTATGTCTAGACAATAAAAGCATGGTAAGATATAACCTGTGGTAGATGTTGGTTGGCTCCTCCAACATCAGCAGTATGAAGAAGGCCCTCTGTAATTATAAAGGTTTCTGAAAAAACTACAAACGTGACATTTTAACCAAACTTATACTTTCCCCATTAGTAGGAAAAAGATATTAAAGCTGTTCTCTTTGGGACCTAGATATCATCAGGAGAAATGAAAATGAAACAAGCCTGTTTCTTTACATGTAGAAGAAAACCACAATGTCGAAAGAAATGAGAAATGAGGACTCTTTTATGTGGTTCTTAAACATTGGCTATAAAGGTGTTTCCCTGCAAGGAGAAGAGTCTTGGGTCATCTCAGTATGTTGGGGGCGGGGTTACAGTGGAAAGGCGGGGTGTAAGGGAATCAACCTGGATAACAGTATGCACCTTGGATGTTAGCAAAAGCGAAGCTAATAGCTTATAAAAAACACATGAAATATATAAAATAAAATGATTTCATATACATCTTAATTTAAAATAATTAATGCATCAAATCCCTGTTTAAGACTTTAACCTGAATATCAAATTTAAGAGTCCAGACTAGCTACTGTTACTGTGGCTCTTCCCCACACGTAACACACACACTATCAAAAATAATTTAAAAACCTTCACATTCTTAAATCTAAATCAGTGAGATATTTCTCCAGAAATCTTCCAAATAAATAGCTTTAAAAAAGAAAGAATTTAAAAGCTGTTAACTTTAAAAAAAATCTGTTAAATAAATTATTGATAATTCTTTATCCTACTACTGAAAATAAATCAAGACACTACCAACAACAAAATTAAATTCAAGCCCTGACAAGAGACCCCTTTCCAGTTCCAGGTCTCTTTTTAAGGTTCTACCCTCCTTCTTCCTCTCCCCACCAGGTCCAAGGGTTATTGCTGAGTGGGCGTGGCACAGTGAAAGCGCAGCTCCTTCTGTCTGGTCTCGGCAGTGCTCTGACTGTACACACACTGGTCCAGGCCTGGGCAGCGGAAACCCCGGCTCCCACACCCCGAGACGGCCTCCAAAGGAAGAGTGACGGAGACAGCAGCTCTGTCACACAAAGAAGCGTGCGTGGCCATTTCTGTTCAATTTAAGGATCTTCCCAAGACGTTGCTTGGCTGTTGCCATTCCTTTTTTTTGGGCGCTTACCTATAAAACACCAACAACACTGTTAATACTCACAAAAAGTGTATGTGTCATGTAATACCCAGGAGAGCTTCATAGCAAAGAAATGTGTGGGGTCACATCTCTGGACTTCATGCCTTAAAAACCCTTCCACTTGAGCACACAGAAGAGAAAGGGCAGCGTCCCTCCAACCATGCTTCATCAACAAAGAAGACCACGATTTTCTGCGTTCCTCATGAACCACTCACTGCCCTCCTAGCCTCAGGTCACGCTCACATCACGCTCACCTGTTTTCACTGCTGTCTCTTCTGTGACATCCCTTAGCCCCGCCTAGCAAACTCATCCCCCCACCCCCACTCCCCGCCCCATTCAAGAGGTTTATTGGGAGGGAAGAATCCAGGAGAGTGGCTGCCTCTGCCAGGGTGGCAGAGGACACAAACTCATCCTTTTTCCTCAGAAAGCCACTCCTGTCCCTCAGGACTGGCCTAGGTGTCTCTCACTGTTTCTACAGTAGCTCACCCCCACTGCTTCCATGCTGTTGTCCCTAATGCAGGAGACAGGACAACAGGCAGCAGTTCTCAACCCCTGGGGGAGGGTCATTTCACAGGAGTGGCCTAAAGCCACCAGAAAACACAAATGCTTGTATTACAATTTATAACAGCAGCAAAATTAGGGTTATGAAGCAGTAACGAAAACAATTTTATGGTTGGGTAGTCACCACAACACAAGGAACTGTCTTAAAGGGGGAAAGCACTAGAAGGTTGAAAACCACTAGCATACAGACTGTCCCCACCTGCTACCAGTGCCTTTACACACGGTCACAAACACACTGCCCTGCTAACATACACAAGGTACCTTTTGTTGCCTGGTTACTGATAGGTGGTGGGTTTGATGCAGGTCTCTTGGTGGGGTGAAGGGGCACTGAAAAAGAGGTTTCACCAATCGGCCTTTCTGGGCTAACCCTGCCATTACTCATCTGGCATGGCCCTGAAACCAAGCTGGGATTCAGCGTGCACTTTCCAGTTTGAATACTTGAGTTACTGTCCACACAATGCCTGCTCTGTGCCTTCTGACTGGTTTCTGAAGAACTTTCCTTTTTGATGGATTTCTGGTTTCTACCTAAGTCCTAAAGAAGGAAAAGAAAGAAATGTAGCTGCATTTTCCAGGTTTCAGATAAATGAGGTATTTAACCTCTCTGCATTAGAAAAATCAACGAAGATGAGGACACAAATTACTTAATTTTGGTTTACTTTTTCCCCCTTCTATATTATGTCTCATTCATACACACACACACACACACACACACACACACACACACACACACAGAGAGAGAGAGAGAGAGAGAGAGAGAGAGAGAGAGAGAGAGAGAGAGAGAGAGAGAGAGAGAGAGAGAGAGAGAGAGAGACAGAGACAGAGAGAGACAGAGACAGAGACAGAGACAGAGTGTCAGAGTCTGTATGCATGTCCATACATCAGGATGCATGTGTGGGAGCCAGAAGACAACGTATGGGAATTGTTTCTCTCCTTCCATCATGTGGTTACCAGGTATCAAACTCAGGCCATTAGTCTTAGTGGCAAGTGCTCTTAAACAGTGCTCAAAGTACCTATCCTTCATGATGGTCAGTTCAGTCCATAACCAGCATTAAAGGCTTACAAGATTAGTTCTTATTACTTAAGTTCTGAAGTTCATTAAATCAACATCAATCCCATAACTGGAAGGAAAACTGAAATAGAAGCAATGGACCCACAGTTTCTTTGGTTCATCATGGTTCTCAATGTAATATGCTTCCTTTTAGAGTTCTCCTTCTACCATGTGGGTCCCAGGAATACCCAAACCATTAGGCCCCGTAGCTGAGCCATCTTTTCAAACACAGCTAGTGTAAGGTTCATCTCTACTATATTTATTTGCTATAAAAATGACAAGATCCAGGTCCAAGCCTGGTTTTTCTTTTAACTAGGAGTTCTCTTTGAGTCTCTTATAATAATTGAGTCAATCTGTAAGGGAAAAATAATGTTACTGATAAGACCTGAAATTAACTGAGAGGTCCTGATCAACATCAAAAGAGAAAGAAACTGAATAAACACATGAAGTTTTAAAATGAAAGCAAAACTAATATTGAACACTCTAAATCTCTTCTTCATATTTTCACTCTGGAATATACCTGAGGATTAAATCTGGAAGTTCTATCAAACTGTTTAGTCCAGGAAGAAGTCCTCAAATCTTGATCTGCAGTTCTGTCATGGTTCCCTAGAAAGAAGTTTCAAAGATTAAGTTATCTTTGCACAAACTTATCTTAAAACTAGTCCAGTGCTTACAACTGAAAGCAAATATACGTTGACATTTCACTATACATTAATTATTCACATACCTTTTCTTTCATCACACTTCTTAAAACAAACAAGTCCCAGTTAGCAGCTCACAACCAAACTTGCTATTTCTTTTACTTTTCCTGAAACTGTCTCTACAGGACAGAAGACCTACAGTCAAGTACTATGGCCACATGTTGTCGGTACAAACCACATGCAATACACACGTCTCTAAAACGACTTATTTTCCCCATTATAGGGAGGCAAAATGGAGCAGAGAAAGACAGGTAAACCCAGATTTAAATTTGAGTTTTTCCAAGTATCAATGCAACTTTAGACAAGCTATTAAACCTTTCCAAGGTTCAATTTGCTCTTATATAACATACAAAGATTTCGTATCAAGTGATCCTGGGTTCAAATTCCAACAGATTTGAATAATACCTATGTAAAGTTTGTGTAAGTTAAATTAACCTCATCAAATCCTATTTCCTTTTCATGTAAAATGGAGGTCAAGGTACTGGGCGCACAGATGACCCTATTTATGTGAGACTGAACACAACTGCTACATGTCCTTTTCTCAATCCTAAGATTTTTGTTTTGGGAAATATTTTCTTTTCCCCCCTCTGAAAGCACACAAAGAAACACTAGGTGGCATTCCTGACACACTGTGTCAGCTCAAAGGGTTTGAGAAAAAATTGCCTCAGTCTGAGAGAAACTATTCAAAACCTTTTCTCCTTTCCTAAAAGGAAAATGGACCGATTCTGCAGATCATTTAGAACACCAAACATTCCTTCCACTTTGGGAGCTCTTACAGTTGGTGACAGGAAAACAAGACTATCTTTGCAAGAGCAATGATAGACGTAGACCTGTGCACACAATTCTCAGCCCCATGTCATTGACATTTTGAGCTTTAACATTTGGATTACTTTTTAATTGACTGTTATATGTAGGTACATGTGTGCCACAGCATACGTGTGGAGGTCAAGGGGACATCTTGTAGGAGTTGGCTCTTTTTTCCCACCATGTGGAAATGTGGGTCCTCAGGATCAAGCTCAGATCATCAGGGGGTTGGCAGAAAGCCCCTTGCTGACCCACATTTTAAGTGTTTATGCTTACATCTTTTATTTTTTTTAAGATTTATTTATTTATTACATATGCAGTGTTCTGTCTACATGCCAGAAGAGGGCACCATATTGAATTGTAGATGGTTGTGAGCCATCATGTGGTTGCTGGGAATTGAATTCAGGACCCCTGGAAGAGCAGTCAGTGCTCTTAACCTCTCGGCCATCTCTCCAGCTCCTTATGCTTACATCTTACATGACTATATAAAAAGGTATTTCTTAATGGTAAACAGTCATTATTCATATAATCTCTAACCTCAACTAAGATCACAACACTTTTAAATTGGGGAGTCATATATTACTTTTCAGAGATTGATAATTTGTGTTTCTTACCAAATTCCACTGGTTTATCACAGCGATACAGCTGCCTAAACTCAGGGTCACTGCTGTGGCAGCTGCTGGGATCCTGGGGAGAGTTCTTGTCACCACTGCAGTCTGTGCTTTGTATCTGCCTTTGTAAACACGTGGAATAGTGCAACCCTGCCATAGACAGCATGCCCTGAATAGCTTCTTCCTCTGTGCTCGTCGAGGTAGGACATTCCCTAGGGAGCAGGTGATCCAAAAACACAGTGTATTTTTTTGATAAAATATTCAGTAAATTTAAAGGCCAAACGGTGTTTTTAGAGCATTTACATCACAATGTAAAACAATTATCATCCACAAGCCTACCTTTTAACTGGAATTTCATTTCTAGATGGCTTCTGGCCCTTCTGAAGGAGGTTCCTCACTATATCAGATTCCTCCTTATTAAAGTTTGATGTTATTTCATGTTTCTTTTCATCACCTGAACTTTCAGAATCTTCAGTGGCAAAATTAATTTTCTGAAATAATAAATCATTAAATGGAAACAAAGCTAAAAAACAATTAGACTGTACAGACTAATTGAAGTTTATCTGTTCAGAAGTTAGAATCTTAATTATCATAAAATTGGTTCTGTGTTTCACATTAAAATCTAAAACTTTCTAGTAACTATGGTAACCTACTACCTGAATACAAAACACAGTTACATCCTTTAAGGTAAAACAAAATATAAATTGTCAGAATATAAACCATGCAAGAACTTAGTGTAAGCAGCAGCGTCTCTGCCTCCACCCTTACCAGAACCTAACAAAAACTGCTCCTGAATGTGACCAGTCACAGCATGGTGTGTACACACAGCAACACTGCAGGGAGACCCCACGCTGCACACCTAGAGACAAGCTCTCCCGGGTGAAGCTACATGGGTGTTCATCGTCCCATCAAACGACACGTAAACCTTGGGATTCTAAGCATACCAGTGCAGTGCAGTCAGGTCCAGAGTCTTCTGAATCAGAAACATCAGAATATTCTGATGTTCTATTCCTGAGTTCTGATTTCACACTTGTAAAAATCCCTGCAGAAAAGAGAAAGGACAAGAAACAAACTTTGGGGCAAGGTGGAAAGATGATCTTTAAAGTCTACCCAGCTTCAAGATGTCTTTCCATCTCCCCACAATGTCTCTCCTGTCTCACTGCTTTTATTTTCCCATCTTTTTCTCCCTAGTTGACCAAAATGCACTGACTGAAGTAAGTCCTTACAATATCTGTGATGCTTCTTTCTTTCCAGGAAAAAAAAATCCTATAAAACTAAAATGCTACAAGCTGCTTCTGGCTTTCTCTTGTTATCTGACTAGAGAACAAAATAGCAACTCTCAAAGCTCCCTGTGCTCGTGGACTGTGGGTTCAAACAACTTATCATCTGGACTCTTAGCACTGCCTTGCTCTTCCACAAGCAACTGCACAGCAACTGCCCATCAGTTCTCAGCGATACACTGTCCTGCCCTGACATGCGAACAAAGAAGAGTTACCAACCAGAGGACCAGACTTACTGAGAATTAGCGGTAACTGAGTATTCAAAATTAATCCAATAATATTCATTATGCAGAACACTTATTGATCAAAAATATTGATTTTTAATTATTTTTTAAATGGAAGGGTATAGGCTGCTCTTGAAAACTTTTTAGGAATTAAGATTTATTCGAAGAAGAAAGACTTCAAGGAGAAGGTGATATTACTACAGTATCTGATATTCCTATTACTTTACTGGATAATAATCAATTAACACACCAGTAGAAGCTATGTGTCAGTCAACCAAATAGCACCATACTACTTGGATTCTCACTAACGGCATATCAGCCAACTAGCTGTCTCTTACTTATGAGAACCAAAAACGTATCAGCAAAGGTCATTTGTGAAATGAAGTCAAGCTTGAAAGCACCCGAGCTTTTAAGAGACTTTACAAACAGTGACTCTGCCTGGGTCTTGCTGGCCATCGAATACCCCTTCACTGGTAATCTGTCCCTGGCTACCACACCTTATTTGGCATTCACATACAGCACTTTCGATGAACAACTCAAAAATATTTTGGCTTTTCCAACAATATTATAAACAAAAAATTTTCATCCTACAACTCAAACACCAGCAAGTTACCCATCGCCATATTGGTGAAAGAAGGAAAAACATACTGTTAAGTGGTTTTGGAAATCTTTCACTTTCTGTGCCCTCTCTTCCTGAGCTCTCTTCTGTCTTTACGTTTGCCTTCTTTGTTGGTTTCTTGTCCTCTTCGTTTTCACTATCTGCTGTATAAAGGCTCCGATCTGCAAACAGCTGTCTCTCATCTCTGCCACACAGGGAAAATTGCATCAGAAGTATTGCAAGACTCTGTGTTCCCTTGCCCTCCATCCAGGCACAGCAGAGAAATGAGACCCTTTCCCCTATAGGATTGGCTGTGCAATAATGCAGATGAGGGAATGAACAAAGGGACTCACTAAAAATAAATCTAATAGTTTGATCTACTTTACGTACTTAATTATTCTTCCATTTGTCAGCAGTAATCGCAGATCATTATCTTTTGCTCTCCAATCAGGTACCGTGGAAGATGGCTGGAGATGTTTGTTGAATTTTCCATTCAGTTTAGAACTCAGTATGTCCTTAAAAGTACAAAGCATAACTGACATTCAGACAGGCCTGCTCAACTGTAAAAAGACTACATGCTGCCCCTCCTCCCATGGTCCTGCCTTGTAGAGGGATGGGCAGCCATCTAGGCTCGGAGATTTCTCAGTGTCCCACAATCCAGAGCTATTCATTCCAACACGTATAGAATTGTACATCTTTCAGCGGGGCCATTTGCAAGAAAATCATTTTCTAGTATAAAATACAAAATCTGCACAAAGCAAATCCAAACAGGCCTTTCTTGCAGATGCAAAAGGACTAGAGTCAAATGGCCTTAGGAAGTCTGGGGTTCCTTGGCTGCTTTTCCTGATGAAGTACAGCTGTGGTGCCTCCCCACTCACCCTAACCTTGACCCCGTTCCTTCCCACCAAGACTGTCTGCTTCTGGGGCTGGAGATGGCTCCGAGGTTAAGAGCACTTCCAGAGGGCCAGAGTTCAATTCCCAGCACCCACATGGTGACTCACAACCGTCTATAACAAGATCTGGTGCCCTCTTCTGGCATGCAGGCAGAACATCATATATAATAAATAAATCTTTAAAAACTAAAAATTAAAAAAACACCGTCCGCTTCCACACTGCTACCTCTAAGCACAAGAGCCACCACTTTACTAAGAGAGATAATAGGAGCTTTGTTTTTTAACATATAAAAGATCCTCTTTCAGAGCTTCTCCTTAATGTGTGTGTGCCCATGTATACATACATAAACATACATGCATTGTTTGTTTGTTTTGTTCTGTTTTTCAAGACTGGGTTTCTTCTTCAGAGCCCAAAAGAATGTATGATATTTGGATAAACATGTATTTGTTTTATTGAGTAATAAACATGTCAGCAAATGAAAGAAATCTAGGTATCTTAAAACCACACTGTTGACTAGAAACACCAGACTCCATGGTTTCCCACAGACTAGATTTATAGAGTAGAAACTAGCCAGACTGCTCCATGTACTACCGGAGCACCCCTTCGGTCCTGACATGTACTTGCCTCCTCCCATGGACACATCTCTAGTCTTTTGAGGACTTCCCTTGTATGGAGCTCAAGGATGTCTAGGTTAGAAGGAGTTCGGACATGATGGTCTCGAAGTTTCCTCATCTTTCGCCGGGAATGATATGGTGAAGATGCTTCATTTGAAGGCCGAGAAACTGGACACACAGTAGGAATTCCCTGAGATTTTACTGGTTTGCCATTTTCTTCCTACAAGAGTCAAATTCAGAGCACTAGTTTTACGGCAAGGCTCCTATACATATACCTGACTAAACAAGTAAAAAACTTAAAAAACAAAAACACCCTTATTTAATCATTTAAGACAAAGTTAAATCAAAGTCTCAACGTTCTTCCCTTTTCCTCCATACACTTTCTGGACAATGCACTTCCTTTTTTTATTTGGGGAGGATTTTTGGGGGTTGGGGTGGGGTGGGCATGGCTCAGCTTCCTAAGGGCTAGGATTACAAGCATGCACCAGCACACCAAACTTCCATCTTAAATTTGTAATATAAAAGTGGAGTTGACATTTCAGAAATGATACTCCTGTTTGCTAAACTATCAATTTTGAGCTTATTCTGCTCTGATTTTACTGTGCATGAGACACACATGCACATATATGTTACAGACAGTATGATATATATATATATATATATGACTTTTGATAGGAAACTCATTAAATGACATTACTATAACTCTTTAATAAATTTTTGCTACATCTCATGAAATATTCTATTCCATGGAGAGTAAACCTAGCATAGTAATCTTTCTTAGAGGTTTGGAGATTTAGCTCAGTGGTAGAGAGCACCTGCCTAAAAAGATGTGCATATACACTACTCTCCGTTCCTGACATTGTGACTGTGAGCCTAGCCTGCTACTGCTGAGCCATGTCTCCAGCTCCTCTTCCCATTCTACAAAAGATTACAAGTTATGTAAATTACTTGTGTAAATGCAAATTACCTAGTGTAATTTACCAAGTGGCTTTCATTCCTCCAGTGAATTTCCTCTTATTTCAAACTATTTGCTCATGAAGTTACTTTCCAGAAGAATTACTTTAATGAAAACCCCCCTTTTTTCAATACCAACATCAGCTCTTTAATAAATTAAAACATTTCACATATATGGGCTTGGCTTTTATCAAAGGCACTGACTTCTCAAGCTGTTCCAGTGTTTTGGCCAAGGAATTCCATAATATTCTTTCCAACCCAGCTTCATTCACCTTACTGTTTTATCCCTTCCTCTAATTATTTCACAAACATTCATCTCTAGCTAACTGAAACTAAGTAGATCTAAAAACCGCATTGTGACTTTTGCTTAACCTTTGAAGGAACTTAAAGACTTGACAGTAACTGGAACTGTCTCTGTGTTATCTGATCACAACGCAATACTCCACATTTTTTTGTAAGACACTAGAAGCCTAAAATCTGTAGAGCTAAGTCAGCTGATTCCATTCCTTCACACGTGTAAGTGCTTTCAATATTTACAGCATGGTGGCAGATTCATTTGCTTCTCAAGACAGATAGCAAGCAGACAAACTCACGCTCACTTCTATTCTTACCTCTATTGCTCGAATTACTTTAGAAAGTTCCTTAATAAGATGGCCAGGTCTAACATTGTCTGGAATTTCAAAGGCATGTTCAGATACAAGCTGTATTTGGAGTAATAAAGATAAGAAAACCAAAGTCATTTAAATATTTAAAGCCCAGCTTACTTTATAAAGTTTTCTATATTTTAAAAGCATTGCTGATAGTCAAGCCTTCTCAAAAGTTTACATACTTGGTAGAATATCACCTAAGGAGATCCACATTATCAAATAAAGTCCTCTTATTTTAAAGTTTAAATCTGATCTGTCTCACAGTGATCTTATTAATAATGTACTCTGTACCTCAAATCCCACCAATTCCAAGTACAACTACTAATACAAAAAAAATTAAGCCTAACATTTAATTCAAAATACATAAGGATTTTTATAGGGAACATTGGTACTAAGTAATCCTTGTTTTTCATGGAAAGTATAATTTGAATAAATCTGAGTTAAAAATTTGATACTGTTAAGTACAGTTGGTAAGCATGAACTCATTTAATCCCCTCAATTTCAGGGTAACAGATACTGAGATTCTGTTTTTTGGTTTTTTGAGACAGGGTTTCTCTGTATTGTTTTGTAGGCTGTCCTGGAACTCACTCTGTAGACCAGGCTGGTCTCAAACTCACAGAGATCCGCCTGCCTCTGCCTCCCGAGTGCTGGGATTAAAGGCGTGCACTACCACGGCCTTTAATCAAAGGTAGGAGACGGTCCTTTAACAAAACTGTCTCCTACCTTTGAACAAATTTACTAAAAGTGTAGAAATGTTTGAAAATATACATATTTCCAATGTCTAATAATACTTGTGATAAAAATTTTCTATACACAGAAATTAGGTAGAATATTTTTAGGATACAGTCTACTCCAAGGCTATTACAACCATAATCCCAATGCAGAGGCTTTGTTTTTCAGAGGTTCTCAAGGCAACACCAACACACAATCTGAGAGGCACCCATCCAAAGCCTCTGCCAGGAGACAAAGGCGCACAACTTCCACAGCTAACAGTTCATCCCACTAACACAGATGTTAACTTGCATATGCTTTTCCTCCTCAGACACATGATAAAATCTGACAGTGCAAGACATCTTTTTACTTTCCTGGATGTTTCTAGAGCACCTTGCCCTAATGGATTTGTAGCACTAATCCTAAAGTAAAATGGAGAATGACAATGTTCAGACTATGGCCTAGTACGGATTGTTTCCCAGTATCTCTTTTTTAAAATGTATTATTATTATTATTACGAGCTTGCATGTACACCAAGACATGTGAGTAGAGGTCAAAGGGCAATTGTGTGGCGTTTCCTTCGACCGTAGTCTACACTGGTCCCCAGGGTTGAACTGTTCTCAGGCTTACACAGCAGGTACTTCATAGACAGTGAGTCTCTCACTGGTGCTCCGTATTTCCCCCTTAATAGCAAGATTTTTATTTTAAATGGGTATCAAGGAAATCTGAAAATCATCAGCACATATATTTATCATTGTTACATAAATAATATATTATATTATTTAATATTAGTGTTAAGCTCCATGGCAGTGAAGTGAGAGTTCAAAAGCTTAGTGAAAGAAACATGCATCATTATACACATTAGTTTTAAGTCTAAGTGCATAAGAATTATATCACAGAAGCATAAGGGAATTAAGTATAAACAATAACTCCAAATGCAGATTTGGATGAACTCTTAGGAAAAGGCTGGGATAATTGCAAACAACTGAACCACAAATTAAGAGTCTTGCCCCTTCCTTCCCCTCCTTTTTATATAAATCTGCCACAATGGTAAAGAGCGGGGACTTGCAATCTTCAAGTCCAATTTTATGTCCTAGCCACGCCAGTTCTCTTGGGAAAGTTACTTAAATGGGGCACCAGCAGCACGCAGACCCCACACAGCCACTGTGAAGACTAAATGAGGCCACACACGTAAAGACAAAGCACAATGCTTGACATACTGAGAGCTCAACACGTCTGTCTCTTAGTCAGTATCTTTACATAGACTTGCATTTTTTTTTCCAGGAATAAAAAAAGCCAAAGCTCTTTATTCTCTAAGAAGAATCAGTACATCTCTATATAATATTTCACAGAGTATATATCATATTGAATACAATTTCCATTCCTTTTACAACACACATGAATACTGCCCACACAACAAAAGTGCTGTTTTCATAATCTTGTCACAAAAGCAAAACAAAAAACCCCACAGCAAAACCAACTTACTTCTTTTTTCATCCACACTTTTAAAGCAGTGTGCAGTGCTTTCACTCCCTGTACTAAGTAAGTTTGAGGCTGGAACCCATCTTCTTTCAGTTCTGTTGGAGTGAAGTAAGGGAGGGAAGGAAGTTAGCCTTCTTCTGGCATAAAGGTATACATGCAGATAGAGCACTTATATTCATAAGATGAATAAATAAATCCTTAAAGAAAAAAACTTTAAAAACAGGGTATTTGAAGCATCAAGTATCAAACTCAACACCCAAACCAGAACAGAAAATAATCAATTCAAAAGGCAAAAAAAAGAAGCATTACATTAAATGTAATGATGCTAAATACTTATATTAAGAATATAAAAATGAAGAAAAGTTTAAGATAAAACAGTAGGGAAAAGATGTTGAGATATAGTTGAGATAGTTGCAGTAATACATTATCATTAATAAAGCATCATTTCAACACATTAAAAAATTCAATTCACTAGAAAGACATTTAAAATTTGAACACTAACATGCCTGAAATACAGAAAACAAGACAAACAACTAATATAATGAGCATCTTCACAATCACAGAGGGATATTTCTAGCAAACACAAGAGTGGACTGAAAAAACTCAAGCAACATAAGAATTGGCTCGACAGTCATAAATGAGTACTGCACCTGGTAATTGCAAAATACACATTTTTTTCAGATATACTCAGCACATTTACAAAAATCATCTGTATTTCAGTTCCATAAAGAGGCCTCAACAAATATCCAGTGATCTTAATCACATATATGCTCAAAATGCGATTAAGACAGAAATCAACAATACAGATAACATAACAAGTGTTTAGAAATTTAAAATTATAGGTGTTAAGAAACACATAAATTTAAAGATTTTTTTAAAAATCAGTGGGGCCAGATAGATGACATAGCAGTTAAGAATACTTGCTACTCTTACAGGACTGGAGTTCAGTTCTCAACCACATGGCTCAGAACTACCTCTAAGTCCAGTGCCAAGAGATCTGATGCCTTCTTCTGGCCTCTGAGGACACTTGCACACATGTACACACATTCAGACACATAAGACACATGTAGTGGCAGACACACCCCTCCCACACGAAAATAAATAGGTAAAATATAATTCTAAAGATGACAGGATAATATAAGTATGAAATTTACAAGTAGAAATATTATTTCCATCCAAAACATGGGTGATGGAACTAAAGAAAAGGATTATTGTAAAAGTCAAGACAGTCAACTACATAAGACGAGGAAGATGTAACTTAATTATCTTGTAAGGATGGTATCAAGATTTTTCTTTCCATTTTTTATAGCAATTTTGTATCCAGTAACCTTGTTATATGTATAAATTTACACATCACATATATAAATGCCTTTTCTGGGGTTTTGAAAGAGTGATTAAAAAACCCAAGTGCAGTATTTCATGCCGTCAAAATTCAGTTAAGTTGAAGCAAAAGCAAAACATTTCAGTTCCATCTAATGGCTGACTTGCTTACAAAATCCAAACTGGCTGATTGTTATTGTCACTGGCATGAAATAAAGTTTGGAAATTCATACTATCAACTCTCACTTAGCCCATCATAATCACACATGCTTTATAACAATCAGAGTTATAAAGTCCACAATAAGAAGGGCAAACAGTCCACAATAAGAAACTAGAAGGTTAGTCATGAAGAATGTACTATGAGGTAACAAGATGACTATCCCTATTTCCAGGATGAGCCTATAATAACGGACAACATATATACATGTGTGTACCTAGTTTAAAGAAGGCTGTTAGCCGGGCGGTGGTGGCACACACCTTTAATCCCAGCACTTGGGAGGCAGAGGCAGGTGGATCTCAGTCAGTTCAAGGCTAGCCTGGTCTACAAAGCAAGTTCCAAGACAACCAGGACTGTTACAAAGAGAAACCCTGTCTCAACAGAACACAACAAAAAAGGCTGTTACTCAGGTAACTGATATTCAAGATAAACAAAAACAATTTAATGCTTTGGAAAATGCCTGTTTAGCCAGATGATGGTGGCCAAGCCTTTAATCACACACAGCATTTCAGAGACAGAGGCAGACACATCTCTGAAATTGAGGCTAGCCTAGTCTACAAAGCTAATTCCAGAATAGTCAGGACTACACAGAGAAACCCTGTCTCAAAAATCAAAACAAACAAGCCAGCCTGTTTCAGGGCCAGGGTTACAGAACACTTGTCTGGTATGCACAAGGTCCTGGGTTTAACCATCACATTGCTATAACGCTGAGCTAATGGAGTTGACCATTTTGAAATACGAAAAAAGCAATTTCTCATGATTCCACCATGGGAATAATAGTATACAACTATATGCTACTTTTATAATAGCAAAATGTAAAGTACCTAGAAGTTAAGTCTATCAAGTAAGTGCAAGGTTAAAACAAAAATTTCAGAAGACATTAAAGAAGATAGAGACAAATGCTCCATGATCATTCTTCAGATGGGCCAGCTGTGATGACACATGCTTTTAATCTCAGCACTGGGAAGGCAGAAACAAGGCAATCTCTGTGGATTCAAGCCAGCCTAGTCTACATAGTGAGTTCCAGGTCAGCCAAGGCTACATACTCACCCTGTCTAAAAATAAGAAGGCAGGGGAGATCCTCAATAATGAATGTCATAGACCTCAGTATTTCTGCACATTTTTATGTGATGTGATTAAAATACTAGTTATTTCTAAGACTAAATTGGAGCCACATTTATAAATATTTTTACAAGTGTATAACACATGTTCCTGCTGTTCTGGACTTGAACTTGGCGACTATGTTCAAAGGAAAAATCAACAACAAAATCTGGTCACTGAGAAACAAGTGCAACTCTACAATCCACTGCCATCCCATTAGTCAACAACAACACTTGACAGAGCCAGGGATTCACACTAAGGACTCATGCTGTTCCTGCATGGTCTTCCTCATCTGGGGAACCCTAACCAATCACACATGTCCTATGTCACAGCCTCTCTCCTGACAATGTACTACAAGGACCGTTCTCACCTTCCATTCAAAATAAGGTGGCATCTTTATAACTGTTTTGTTTTGTTTTATTATTTTGTATGTGTATAAGCTCAGAGGACAAATGCAGAATTGGTTCTCTCCTTTTACTCCTATGTGGTTCCAGGGTTCAAACTCAGGTAACAGCAAGCACATTACAACCTCGCTGACCCCCTTTTTTTCTTGGAGGGAAATGATCCCAGACAGAGACAAGAGACAGAGACGAGAGACAGACAGAGAGGGGGGGGGAGAGGAAGGGAGGGAGAGAGGGAGGGAGGGAGGGAACACTATAATAAAAATAAACTGTAGGTAACTTTTTTCATTTCACCTTTTCTTACTTATCCATTTAACTATTAAATGGATAAAGAAATAAATGTCCACACTCTAGACCACTATATCTCGCTCCATCTGTTCTCTCTCCTGAGAGTTAACTCTGATAGTACTATCATTTGGGACCAGAGATGACAAAGCAGTTTAACACCTGCTGTTCCTGCAGAGGAACCAGGTTCAGTTCCCATTACCCACATGATGGCAGTGTTGGTTTGAAAGAAAATGGCTCCCACAGGCTCACAGGGAGTGGTACTATTAGGAGGTGTGGCCTTGTTGGAGGAAGTGTCACTGGGGGTGGGCTTTGAAGTTTCAGAAGCTCAAGCCATGCTCAGTGTCTCTCTTTTCCTGCTGCCTGCAGATCCAGAACTCTCAGCTACCTTTCCAGCACCATGCCTGCCCGCTGCCATGCTCCCTACCATGACAATAATGAACTAAACCTCTCAAGTTTAGTCCTCAATTAAATGTTTTCCTCATAAGAGCTTCTGGGGTCATGGTGTCTCTACAGCAATAGAAACCCTCACTTGGACAGTGGCCCCTAAACACCTGTAACTCCAGGTGCACATGGTGCACACACACACACGCAGACACACACACACAGACAGACACATACACAGATACTCATACACATAAAAATTATATATATACACACATATATATAAAGAGTATCACCATTTGCAGACTAATTAGAAAAAACAATACAAATTATATTCTCACTAGCAGAGAATGAAAAGCAGAATGAAGTTCAATTCAGTCTCTAACTTGACTGTTTGCTTAATCATTAAGTCAAAATAAAAAAATACCAAAATCTGAAATTGTACCATGTAAAAGAACATCTTCAAGTCTAAATATAAACAAATTCTTTAAAACCTTTTTTTTTTTTTCATGTGGTAGTGGGAATTGAGCCTAGGATCTCATACCTGCTTTTCAATGAGCTATATTATCTCTACCCCTCTTACTTTGAGACAAGGTCTCACCAAGTTTCCCAGGCTGGTCCTGAACATGTAATCCTCCTGTCATAGCCTCTCAAATAGCCGAATGGAATTATAGGTCTGTGCCCTCAGGCCCAGCTAAAAATGTTTTTTCTTTAGTTGGGTTGATTTATTTATTCATTATGTTTACAGTGTTCTGCCTGCATATATGCCTTCATGCCAGAAGACAACACCAGGTCTCAGCATAGATAGTTGTGAGCCACCATGTGGTTGCTAGGAATTGAAGTCAGGATCTCTGGAAGAGACCAGTGCTCTTAACTGCTGAGTCATCTCTCCAGCCCCTCAATTGGGTTTATATGCTAACAGGTGAATTAAACTAGCTAACATCATGGTTATAACGGTGACTGACGGCACAAAAATTCAAAGTACACATCACTCCCTATTTACCTTAAGTCTACTGAGGTGGTGGTCTCACTACATAACCCCAGATTACCTAGGACTCATTATGTACACCAGACTGACTTCAACTCAGAGAGATCTGCCTATCTCTGCCTCCTGAGTACAGGGGTTAAAGGCATACACCACCATGCCCATTCCCCCAATCTAATTTTTAAAGCAAGTATTTCAGAACAAGTGTTAGGTCTGTCTATTTACACAAGCTACACTTTTGAGAGCAAGACACTAAAATGTATGCAGGCCACTCACCCACTAAATGAAACGATTATTTTCCGGTAATTTGTATATAGATGCCTGACTTCTAATAAGGAGGGGATAGCTATAGACTAGGTTCTCAACCTCTGGGTCTTGACCCTTTTGGGGTCACATATCAGACATTTATATTATGATTCATTACAATAGCAAAATTATAGTTATGAAGTAGCAACGAAATCAATTTTATGGTGGTGGTGGGGTCACCACAACATGAGGAACTGTATTAAAGGGTCACATCATTAGGAAGGTTGGGAACCACTGCCCTAACTGCTAAAAACAATTCTTAGCTGGGGAAGGGGAAAGAAATGCACACTTTTTTAAAGGGGAGGAAACCAGACTGGAGAGATGGTTCAGCAAGTCACAAGCAAGTATTGTTCTCACAGAGGACCTGAGTACTCACATGTACAACCCTCCCACATACCTACATAATTAAAAATAGAAATAAAATCACTTCAAAAGTGACAGTGACATCTAGCAAAGGGTCTCCCTGAAAGAATCTGCAATCACACATCTTATCACACGTGTACAAACACAAGTGTACAAATCACTCATTACCTTTCAGGGTTTCCAGCAAACTTTTGGCTACAAACCAGCATATGGCTTCAAAGAAAGGGAATTTGAAAAGATCTGGTGTTTTTAGTCTTTTCTCCATCTCATAACACCTAAATGAATAAAATTTGAAGAATTAGTATTATCATTTTGAAGTTAAATGAAGGTAGTCAATGGAAAATAAACAGGCCATGATAAGTATGAAGGACTATACATTTCCTTAACAACACCTTTCGACAACACTGAACTGTGATCTTATGCAGGTTCTGGCCTTCATAAATTTGCTAGTCAACTTAAGAGTTACACTGGACAGGCTGGGCATCAGTGGAGCACACCTTTGATCAACACTCAGGAGGCAAGTGGATCTCTGTGAGTTCCAGACCAGCCTGATCTACAGAGCAAGTTCCAGAACAGGTTCCAAAGCCACAAAGAGAAACCCTGTCTCGAAAAAACCAAAAGAATTATCCTGGGTACTACAAAAGATCACTTCTTAGGACTTGTTTCCTAACTTTAACAAAAAAGGATTCTATGAAGATTCTACTAATAGTAGGTTTAAAGATCAGTTCTATATGCTGGACAACCCTGAAATACCCATCAATGTTTCTTTAGGCTCTACCAAGCATTCAAGATCAAGACCATTATTTAGCACTAGTCAAGATATAAAGACAGGGACCACAATTTGCACAATATTGGCCTTCAGTCAGGGTTGCAGCAATAACACATGTAGAAGAAGCCATCTCTTTTCCAGAAGATTAAAACTTATACCTCGTAGGCACACAACCGAACAGTTTAAAGCCTGTGCTCTGTAAGAGTCACCACCTTCTTTGTAGGCCACCATTTCCTTTGACAATGCAAAGAGCAAGCATCCAATGTACATGCAGAGTCACAAGAGTCACCACATTTGGAGAATCCCAATGTGCCTCCCCAAAGGTATTGCCCCTCTTCTCAGTCCTCATGCAGTAGCAACCAGAAAGCATTCTTACCATGTGCAATGTGGCTAACCCTAAGCCTTTCAAGGTACAATGAAAGAACAGTTAGCAAGCAGGCCAGATCACATCGAAAGGAGAGTAACTGACCACACTTTACCTACAACAAAATTCAAAGGTGTTCTAATAGCAATCCTGACTGTTCCAGCTTCACAGGTGACATCCAAATCTGATTAAGTAAATTCATTTTCATAACACTAGTTTATTGACTAAGAAAAGCATACTTTTTGTTAAAAGTTCCCATTCCTAGCCAGGCAGTGGTAGCACACACCTTTAATCCCAGCTCTCAGGAAGCGGAGCCAGGAGGATCTCCGTGAGTTCATGGCCAGCCTGGTCTACAGAGTTTAGTTCCAGGGCAGCCAGAGCTATTACACAGAGAAACCCTGTCTCCAGAAAAAAAAAAAAAAAGTTCCCATTCATATACATTCCTCAAGGCCTATTTCCATCAGATCTCAAAATAAATACTTCATTTTTTGAATAAGAAACAAGCAAAACTGTTCTAATTAAGAACAAAAGATCCTTTCAATATCGATGACACAAACCTGAGCTGCATGCCAATGTTGAGGTTGTGCAGAAAGTTACCGCCAAAAGCCATACAGTCCTGAGAAGTGAGCACAGCATGAATCCACCCTGAAACACACCAATCAGTGATGTTTTGATTTCTAAACTAAACAGACGTTCTTCTACCTGTGAAGTAAGTGACTTAAATACCAGTATCAATTTACTTCATGGCACAGTCCTAAGTTTCCTCCTTCAATATCCCAGCACTAAAGAAGCTGGTGCTTGTGACAACAGATTGACTCATTCATTTAAGTACTTATTAAAAGCCTGTAATATGCTAAGCTTTGTGCTGAGTCTGAGGGAAGAAAATGAGGGTTTGGATAACACTTTCACAATGAAGTATTTTATTCTGGAGCCAGTCAAATCTGGTTTGAATGAGGAAATAATTTTCTATTAATGCGTATAAGATTAACTGAGCAATCTGCTTCCCAAGTGTCCCATGAAGTAAGTGCCCTGAAAGGAATGTGCTTTAAGGAAACATCAGGGAACACAATGTGACACCCTGCTCCAGCAGGAGGCAAGGCAGATAGATCACCCACATTTAAAATTAAATGCTGATGATTAAATGGTTTATTTCCATTGGGGTGTTTTCAAAATGAGAGACATTTCTAACAGATGATGTCTAACTTTTTAAGTGTTAGTAGACTGAACATACAGATTAAAAATTATAAATTCTCCTGGGCATTCATATAGGTAACAAAGAAATGTTCAATAAAAACCAGGACTAGAAACGAAAATTCCATTATTTTAAAAACATACTTATACATGGTTTTGGCGCCATTTCCAGGAATACAACTACTCTGTAGATTAAAGAAAGCCATAGAATAGTTTGTTTAGAAAGCTACCGATCATCTTGGGGGGAAAAAATTCCATTTCTTAAAGCAGTGACTGTCTGAATGCAGTCCAGAAACTAGCACCATCAGTCAGCAACTTGTTAAAGATGCAAACTCTAAGGCCCATCCTGCATTCATGGAAGGAGAGCCTTAAGAGAAAGGCCCAGAAGTCTGTGGTTTTATAAGCCCTTTTGGTGATCTTTATACTGGATGAAGCTGGAAAGACCCCAAGCTACCCCAAATGCTAATGAATCTCAACTGTCCCTAGCTCACATGAACTGGTTTGCAGACTTGTGACTCTTATGTTGCTGGTAGTACAGGCATAAAACAAAACAAACAAACGAAAACCAGCATTTCTTCATAAATTATCTTTTAATTTCTTCCTTACACACTCCAGCAGACCACTAAATTAACTTATAAGAAGTTATTTATGTAGGATGTCCAATAACCTATGACCTCCAATTTTATTTTTAAAAGGATAGAATGGAAAAATTATAATAGCACTGGGAGAAGATTTAAAGATTCCTTTCAAAATCTTGACATAAATCCCAATACTTCTAGACACTGATTCATTAATTTACTCATTACTCTATACCAGAGGCAAGGTAGAAAAGCAGAACATGTAGTAACAGTCCTGTAAATTCTATAACCATTATTAGGCTACCCAAGCCAGAAGAACACTGTTCTCAACAGTGTATTCATACCGCCAACCAATATATCAATACCTATACTTGAGATATACAGTACAGAGAAGTTTGGTAGTCCTTAAAGAATTAAATATTGTTAATACAATTTTATTTAGTACATACTCAAAAGAAATTAAACAAAAACATGCCTCTACATAAAAGTTTGCACAACTGTTCGAAACACTATTCATAAAATCACAAAACAGAAAACAGCCCAAATGTCTATCAACTAATGAATGGGTAAGCAAACTATGGTATATCCTGCAAAGGAATACTGTTAGGCCAAAAAGATTGAGCATTTATGTATGCTATGCTATAGATGAGCCAAGGGAATACTAGGTAAGTAAAAGTTACTCACAGCCGGAGATGATAGCACATGCCTACAATCTCATCACTCAGGAGAGGCAAGAGAATCAGGAGTTCAAGGTCATTTTCAGCTACAGTGAGTTACAGGCCAGCTTGAGCTATGAGACCCTGTGTCCAAAATCAAAAAAAAAAAAAAAAAAAAAAAAAAAAAAAAAAAAAAAAAAAAAAAAGCCAGGAGGGAAGAGATAGAGGGAAGAGGCCAGACACAAAAGGAAACATATTAAGCATCAAAATAGGTAAATGCATAGAAAGTATATCAGCAGTTGCCAGTAGGTCAAGGAAGCAGGGAATGGCAGTATCTGCTAAAAAGTATTGAGTTTCTTTTGGACATTAAGTGAATGACTCTCCACTTAGATGGCAGTGATGGTTATGTGATCATACTCATTTATCAAAAATCATTCAATTGTACCATTTAATTGGATGGTGATTAAGTCCTCTAAGGAACAATCAAGTCAAAAGTCCTTAGACCTTCTTAGGTAATTCCATAAAAGTTATTTTTTATTTAACAAATAGGTTAAAGCCAAAGTTGATTTCTAATTATAAGCTGACTCCATGGGACTTACTCACTATCAACTAAGCTAGACCAGTAGGTAGGTCCTAAGTTAGAGGTGGCCAGGAGGTAAAGAAAAGAGAAAAGGTGAGGTCAGGAGATATTGCACAAACTGTGTCTTATGCCAAGCAAGCTTATTAAGACATACAGCAGGTTGGCAGAAACTATCATATAGTAGAACAAAAAGACAGTGGAAAGGTAATCAAACAATGCTGCATAAGAAAAACACAGGGTATCTCAAGAGCTTTATAGACAGAATTTACAGCAGCCTTGGGACTGATAACCATAGACAGCCTTGTAAGGTGGCAAGAGTTGGGTTCTCAGGATCGGAGGCGGCTCTCCCAAGGTCCCAGCCCTGGGCCATTACTGGCTCTGTCAAGCATGTTCCTGGTTTTAGAGAAGGAACTGTTTCTTCTTCATACATCAGGGTCTCACAGAAAAGCTCCCAAGGCCTTAAACCCAGGCTATTACTAGCTCTGCCAAGCATGTTCCTGGTTTTAAACAAGGAACTGTTTATTTTCCATGCATCAAGGTCTCAGGGAAAGCCTTGGATCATCCCAGCCCTCAACAATCAACCATAGAAGTAGGGGATGAGATTAAAACCTTACCTGTAGGAACAAATAAGGTATGTCCCTGCTTTACCACACATTTGTAGCATTTATCTACTTTATCTCCAAAGAACACCTCACTCTGGGTCACAGATGAACTCCAAGATTCATAGAGTGCCAAATTTTCATTTGTTGGCTTTATCAAATAAAAAATCTTCTCACCCTAGAAGGAAGTAATCATACTACTTTGAAAAGAAAAGCCATTCTCAGGATGGTCTACTTTGGTACAATTTCCCAGTAAAAGGATCTAAATAAAACTTAATGAGATTTTGTTTAGGTTCAAAAGTCACACATTTGATCAGCAGCCAAGCTCACAGGAACTAAAACTCCTCCCACCTCCAACTGACAAGGTCAACGACCCTACCAAAGCAAGCACTGCAAGTGGCCCATAAAGAGGCACAAACAGAAGTCAATTACGTCACAGCACAGTCATCTCTCACATTTCATCTTCAGAACCATTTTTACAGATTTAAAAACCTGTGAATAAACTTCCTGTAGTGAACTCTTGGCACCCTCAGAGAAAAAGACCAGATCTCAAGACAGCATCAACTCTAGTCCAGAGTACTACACAGGCACAGGAATCTGAATCGGACCTGGTCCTGGGCCAGGCACCAAGAAATGTGAAGGAAATTTCTTTATATTTTTAAATTGTATTATCTCTCCAGTATAGAAGTCATTGGTTAGGTGTAATATAACTCATGTGAATGAACAACTCAATTTTTAATCATACTAAATTTTAATTATTTAAATCTAGCCACATAAGGCTAATGTTTACTAGGCAGTGCAGTTCTGGATAAAGCAGAAGAAATAAAAACTGAAAGAATTAGTAATCTTACAGACATCTGTGATTTATACAACTGGTTTTCTCATTCTCATCTTAGGCCAGAGGCAATCGTCACCATAATGTTGCTCCGTTTTAGTCATTTGGTTCAGAGATTAATGTGAATTGACTAAGAAGAAGAGAAAACAGGAGACAAGAGGCTAACAGAAATCAACTTAAAATACAGAAGGAAAAAAGGTGCCTTTCCTATCACCTCAAACTGTAAAAAGAGGAAAGAAAAAAGAATGCATAAAATGTTTAAGGACCAGAAAAATATTTAACTGTTTACGAATGTTACATAGAGCAAATGAATGTCCTGCCAGAAAAATAAGGCATGTTTTTATTAATAAGAAAATAAGAAATACCCTATTCTTACCCAAAGGACATGGTACCAGACAGAAGTCCCACCAAAGTCAATGTGGAAGTCTGTATAGCTGTCTTGAACGCCCATTAAGCAGTATTTCTGGACAAAGGGCTTAGGGAAGACTGAATCATCTGGCCAGTAATTTTCCACCCACGAAAGTTTTCTGGCTATATCAGGGACCTCCACCAATTCAGACATCCTTAAAAAAGAAAGAAAAAAAACATATATATACCAACATAATACAAATTAAAGACTTCTTAAAACTATTCTTCCCAGGCAGGCGTTGGTGGTGCATGCCTTTAATCCCAACACTCAGGAGGCAGAGGCAGGCGGATCTCTGTGAGTTCGAGGCCAGATTGAGTTCCAGGACAACCTCCAAAGCAAAAAAACAAAAACAAACAAACAAACAACAAAAAAAACTAGTCTTCCCATTTCAACCCAAACCAAGCAATTAGATGGAACTCAAGATTAACAATACTTAAACATTTAAAATTCATTTTATGCCATTATTATATTATCACTAGTAATACTACTCACAATGTGGCCCTGGCTGTCCTGGAATGAGGCTGGCCTTGAACTCACAGGGATTCTCCTGCCTCTGCATCCTGAGTGCTGAGATTAAAGTCGTATACCACTATGCCAGCTACATCTTGTTTCTATGAGCCTGGCAAAGCAAAACCTACAACACTGCTTCCAATGGATAGCTATAAAAGCCATAGCTACGCTTACTAAAATAAACACAGCATTAAACTACATTTAGTAAAATTGAGAATGCTAAGGCAAACAATCTAGATACTCACTTTGTATCTGAAAATTCAAGGCTGATCACATTTAACACTTTTGGTCTGTTAGGGTTCATGAAGTATTTAACATAATTGTGAAGTGTCATTTTGCTGTCTGCCTGCCTTGCCACATCAATGACATCTATCACTTTGTCACCACCTGTAAAGAAAAAAATTATAGTCTTGTTATTGGCTTTTTTTAAAGGTTTCTTTATTTTATTTACTTATTATTAAGTATACAGTGTTCTGCCTGCAAACCAGAAGAGGGCACCAGATCTCGTTACAGATGGTTGTGAGCCACCATGTGGGTGCTGGGAATTGAACTCAGGACCTCTGGAAGAGCAGCCAGTGCTCTTAACCTCTGAGGGATCTCTCCACCCCGTTATTGGCTTTTTTTTGTTTGTTTGTTTGTTTGTTTCATTTTTTGTTTTTTGAAACAGGGTTTTTTTCTCTTTGTAGCTCTGGCTGTCCTGGAACTCACTCTGTAGACCAGGCTAGCCTAAAACTCAAGAGATCTGCCTGCCTCTGCCTCCCGAGTATATTACTGCCTTAAATAGATACTCTAAACAAAACACTAAAATCCATATCTGCTTAATCTGACAACTAAGCCACCTATAAAACTGCATAGAATTAACATCGATATAAAAACATAATTTTCTGAGCCTTCTCTGTGTCAATGATTTCTTATGGGTAGCTCATAATGATAAAAAATAAATTAAGCTGGGATATGAAAATTGTCCACTGTTTCCTGGGTTTCAATTTCCTCATTCATAAAAGAGATTGACCTTTCCCTTTAATTTTTATAATGCTGTAGAGTCTAAATCTGGGGGCTGGAAAGATGGCTTAGTGGTTAAGATCACTGACTGCTCTTCCAGAGGTTCCACATGGTAGCTCACACCTATCTGTAACTCCAGCCCCTGGCTTAGATTTCTACTACTGTTATTAAAGCTGAAGAACTTTGTAGTACTAAAAGTTAGTGGATAAAGCAGTTTAAACAACTTTTCTAAAGATCTGTTTATTTATTTATTATGTATACAGTGTTCTGCCTGCATGTATGCTTGCACTCCAGAAGAGGAGTTGAACTCAGGACCTCTGAAAGAAAAACCAGTGCTCTTAACCCATGAGCCATCTCTCCAGCACCTGGACTTTTCCTATAATAAAATTACACTAACCATTTACTTTAAAGGCAATTAGGTTTCAGTTAAATCTTAACCTTATTCCCTAGTTTATCATATACTTAAATTTAGATGAATGTTTAAGTCAGGGCATTTAACTTGATTTTCCTAAATGAAACTATCAATGAAAATGAATAAAGGGGCAAGTTCAATATGACATGCCAAGGAACTAATGTATAGTAGTGGACACATAATTTTGAGACAAGGTAGATTTGGGTTCTGATTCTCAAATTAACACCTATCTTTTGTTACCAAATGGCATGTACATATTACCAATTTCATCTGTAAACTTCATAATGAGAATAAATGAAAGGAATGAAATGTCAAGATCTGACAATTGGTAATTTTTGCCTTATTTCTTACTTTCTTGGGTGTCAAAATCACAAGTCAGTCGAGGTATCATTAAATGGCAATATTGACCACGTCACTAACATAAAGACATGTTTGAACTGAACCTTCTCTTTTATAGGCCTTCCTCTAAAAGACAGGAGGTCAAGAAACAGAACCCAGAAGACTAGGCTCAGAACTGCTACTGTCATTCTGCATGCAGTGCTAGAACCTATCCAGTTCCTCATGTCTTCTTGGAATTTGTGGCTGCTCTTCAGTAAAGACTTTCCCTACACAAATATCAAATTAAATAGGGTAGGCTGATAAATAAGAATAGAGAAAATGTTTTATTCTTTTCTGACCACTGTTGGTCTGTGGAGTTGCAGTCAACAAAAGCACTACTAGATTTCACTTTTCCTGACCCTTATGAGGTATCCAGACGATATTTTCCATTCCATATCAATACTGCTAGGATACTTCATTTCCTATTTTACCATATTTTTCAAGTACTTAAAGGAGCCAATTTCGTACCTACATAGCGTTCCACGTCCATCACTGAAAAGGCAGGTGAAGGGAGCCTGAGTCCAAGGTCATCTAACTTGGGGACCATAATAGGAACATCAAATCCATGTTTCTCCAGGTATCTTTGTGTCAGCTGACTGCCATGCATCTTCACAACGATTTCATCGGCACTAAGAAAAACACAATTGTCACTTTTATTGATAAGCAGTTTATTGGATACTGGACGGTGGTGGCGCACGCCTTTAATCCCAGCACTTGGGAGGCAGAGGCAGGCGGATCTCTGTGAGTTCAAGACCAGCCTGGTCTACAGAGAGAGCGTTCCAGGACAGGCTCCAAAGCCACAGAGAAACCCTGTCTTGAAACAAAAGTTCTGTGGTAATGAGTTAACAACGAGAAAGAATGTGGAAGCGTTTATATCAGTTTTTTCTACCTAATTGTCCTCTTAAAACTTTCATAGAACCTACAAAGTAAAATTCATATTTAATTAATAAAATAATAGATCATATGGGAATGTAAAATACTGGATTCAGTACAATAGTTATGGAGTGAGGCAAATTATGCATTCATATGAAAAGGTACTTATGATATAGACCATAAGGGCAAACAGTATATAATACCATTCATAACACAATCACATCTTTAAAGAAACACACACACACACACACACACACACACCCCTATAAACATAAAAGTTTCATGGAGAAAGAAAAGCTCAAAAGACTTACATTAAGTCTTAAAGAGGGGATTATGAAAACCCATTCAATTTATTTTATGTAAATTATATCAACTATGTTTAATTCAATACTTATTATGATTTTACTGTGGTTTAAATAACCAAAAGCTTATGGAGTTAATCAAAAGTAGCCCTTTAGTTAACAGCAATAACAGTCTGGACGTTTGTGACCAGCTGTAATCTATTCTCATGTTTATGTTAGCAGAAAAGTATAAGAATTACTAATGATTTAAGGGTCACAAATCTTTGAAATAAGTCAAAGCCATCTCCTTTCCCTGAAAAGCTGTATACCCACAGACACTAATTTGCATAGATGGTGTTGGAAGAACATAAAACCTCTAAGACCTGTAAATAGGCCCTGAGTAGAAGTCTAGGGCTAGGCCCCAAATAAATCAAGCACTGCCCAATAAAAAGGAAAACAAGCAAGCTTCCTTCTACAACTTGGGAACTAGTAACCGACAGCTTGAGAATAAGACTCTTAATTCAACAAAATCATGTGGAAACACTGTTTCATATATTTTCTATTTCTCAGCCAACCTGAGGAAGGCAAATGTGGATGGTTTTTCATTGTGTTTCAGTTTTAGGACTAAAAGATGGTGAACAGAGGAGCAAAGAAATCTTAAAGTCAGAGGGAAAAATCTCAGGGTTTTCATTTCAGGATCTGAAAGAATTCCCTAACAGGCTGAACTGGATACTGTGAAGTTAAACTGTGCTCCCCTCTTTAACAAGCTGAGATATGATCTGGGTAAAGCCTATTAAGCATTATCTCTTTAAACAGATGTCAGGCAGTGAGTAGGAAATGATCAGAATTAGCATGATTAATGCTTCATACTGCTGTGACTCTCCCTTAGCCTAGACAACTCAAATACACTCCATTATTTTCCAGAGTCAAAAGCTCAGACCTGATGCCATCAGAGACTAAGCAATAGCCTTGCATGCTTCTGGTGGACCCAGGGCATAGGCAGCTGACAGCGATTTGAGAAAACTGAAGGTGCAAATCAGGAAAGGTGAGAAAAAAGAAAAAAAACAGTGGTCGCATTATCAGGAGTCGGAAATGAGAACTGCTTCAAATCAGTGTATTTCCAATTCTGGGGATGAGTATTTTTACATGGTGACCCAATTTGCATGCATATGTATGTATCATAGCTCTATGAAACTAAGCCTAGTTACTCCTATGACTTGTATGATAGTTTCTACTTCAGAGAAAAAAGTGAAAAGCCAGTTGACACCAATGGCATGACACCATCTAAGTTTGAAAGACCACGTTCGATAACTCCACTTTACTAGCCAATGCTGTTAACGTGTGTGAGGCAGAGCATGCTCCCTACCTTGGGAAGGCTCGAGAGCGCAGTTCTCTAACGAAGGCCCTGGTCCCAGCCTGCACGGGCCTGGAGCCGTCGTCCACCTCTGTGTAGTCATGTCTGTGCCAGTTCCTCCTCTTTTTCACTGAGGTTGCAGAAGTCAGGAATGAGACACGTGGTAACTGGAAACACTATGTGCTGTCTAATTGTTATAGTCTACATAGTCAGAACCAACAACTGCAGGTACAATGAAAACACTCACGTCTTTAGTTGCATTCCCAGGCCACAAAAGAAAATTTTACAAAAGCTAATGCTGTAATTATAAATAATTAACTGTGGGTTTTTAAAAAGCCTGACCATTATTCAAAATAATTAAAGAATTAAAAGCAGCAAACGAAGTCTTTTATTTATGCACATTTAACCATACTATAACGTTTCCAAATTGTTTAAAAGTAGTTTATTAAAACAATGAGTCATACTATGATTAATCAAGAGTATATCTAAGAGTTTAAAACAAGATTCTCAAGTAACTAATTGTGAGTAGATCTTCAATACAGAAGAGGCTAAGAGTCACCCCACACTTTAAATGTCCCAAGAAAACTTCTGAATGACAGTTGAATCTTCCTAGGAAATTCCAGTAAGGTAGCCTGTGTGTTATTATTTCTCACTGGAAACCACTCACACAGTGGTGGAGAGATGCTCAGCAGATAAGAACACTTGCTGCTCTTGCAGAACACTAGTGTTCAGTTCCAACCACTGACAGCAGGTTGATCTCTAATGACCTCTTTTCCGGCCCCTCAGGCACCTACACAGGTGCACATACATATTCACACACACAAACACACATAAAAATAAAAACAAATCTTTAAAACCACTCCCAGCCAGGTGTTGGTGGCACACGCCTTTAATCCCAGCACTCGGGAGGCAGAGGCAGGAGGATCTCCGTGAGTTCGAGACCAGCCTGGTCTCCAAGAGCTAGTTCCAGGACAGCCTCCAAAACAATACAGAGAAACAACAACAAAAACCATTCCCATAATTCAAGAGCATCTTAGTGTAGGTTCCCCTCTATTATACACAGATATAAAATTTATTTCATCTGGTATCACATTTTTTATACAATTTTCTTGTTTTATTAGCATTTTCTCCTTATTAAATATTCAAAAGCAATTTAAAAGCAGACAACAATTTCAAGGTATAGATGTGCCATGTTATAATCATTTTTGATTCTTAAGCACAGTGGTGGTGTAAATGAGAATGGTTCCCAGAGGCTAATGTATTTGAGTATTTGGTCCCTAGTTAGTGGAACCACTTGGGAAGGACGAAAAAGTGTGGTCTTGTTGGAAGAGCTTTGTCATGGGGGGTAAGCTTTGAAGTTTCAAGACTGCCAATTCCCAGCGCACACACTCTCTGTGCCTCATGGCTGTTCATCAAGATGTGAGTGCTCAGCTGTTACTTGGCTCTGCCATTGTGGACTCTAACCCTTTGCAACTGTAAGGCAAACAAACCCTGTCTTCCATAATTGCCTTAGTCATATTGCTTCACTGCAGTTATAGATCAGTGACTAAGACAAGCACTTCATCTGTTCTCAATCTTTCTTCATATACCACTGTAATTACAGACCTGTACATAAATCTATCTGTTATTAATTGTTCAAGATAAATTTCCAGCAGTGCGAGAAGAGAGTGTGGTGTTTTGACTGAGATGGCCCCCAGAAGCTCGCACACTTGCTCCCCAGTTGGTGGCTGTCTGGGATGGATTAGGAGGTGTGGTCTTGTTGGAGGCGGAATGTCACTGGTAGGTTTTAAGCCTCCCATTATTCCCAGTATGCTAATCTCTGCCCCCCTGCTTAGGAATAAGATGTGAGTTCAGTTGCTGTTCAGCCACCTGCTGGAACTCCACCATAATTAACAGTAACCCTCTGGAACCATAAAGCTGATTAAACTTCTTTTATAAGTTGCCTTGGTCATGGAACTTTGTCACAGCAACAGAAAAACTAATGTAAACAGCACTATTTTAAAGATAATTTGTTATAAACTGCAAAACAGCCTGCAGGAAAGTGGGAGTAATTCATAGTCCTACCATATAGGTAACTCTGTGTTAACAACAGGCCATCATCATTTGAAAAACTAAACAACAAAAAAGCTGCCCATTTGCTAAGTGAATTATGATGCTGCCCATCCCCAAACCAGGGTCTCTTTACATAATACTGGCTTTCCCAGAATTTACTACAGAGACCAGGCTAGTCTTGAACTCACAGTGCTGCCTCTGCCTCCCAAGTGCTGGGATTAAAGACATGTGCCACCAGGCCCAGTCAGATATTCTATTTTTTTATTTTAATTTTTGCAGAGCACAATAATCAGTAAAATATACTCGATTTTGTCATCTGATAGCTATGGATCCAAACTATAGCTCTGACAAATAACTACACAGTATTTAATTAGATACTTTCTCTTGTATCTCATACAACTTTGTTGCACATATTGAAGGAGATAATATAGGTCAATATTTACTCACTATAAAATCTGGCATATGATAACCTACCAGAAGACCACAACTTCCTTTAATGTGCTGACTTAAACATTAAGAGAAACATGCAACTGTCCTGTTGGCCACCAAGCTTGAAACATAAAATCATTCGCAGCTGAATTTTTCTAAAGAGGAAGGCAGTGAAGGGATAGTAAGTAGAAGTCACAGGGAAAGGGTGACTTGCATGTGCCTGAGGAGCACACAAAGTATATATTCAAATGCTGAGCAGCTTTCTGCTTTAAAATCAAGTTAATTCCCAACCACAGAGTATAGTCTAATGCACCTTACTAAGTGGGTATTACAGTGTCTATTATATCTATAATAAAGACATCTGGAATATTCTGATAGGAACAGGAAATCCTGATTATCAAGAAACAATAGCAGAGGGAAAGAAATCAAAAAGGATCACCCAAGTTGAAGTGGATGGTGAAGTATGGGGAGGTGAGCCTTGTATCAAGACAAAACAGATTCCTGCATCTTGGGCATCTTCCCTGAGTTGGATGCATGCCCACAAGATGGCCAATGCCTGGTATGAAGCTCTTGAAGAGCCAAGTAATAGGCAAGCTTTTCTCTGGAGCATCACTATTCAAAGTGTGGGTTACAATCCACTATGGTCTATGCAATTAATTCAGTAAGTGTGATAAGATTTTAAAGAGGTAATATATGGAAAAAATAGACTGTATCGCTTAAAGTAGTACTGGCTCTTAGTAACTCAGTGTTTCATACAAATAAAATAGATATTTGAATTTTACACCAAAACTGATATAAAAGTTAGTTGTTCTGCCTGAAATAATAATACTGTACTATTTACTTCTTCCTGACCAAAACATATTTAACTTATATACAACATGCATCAGTGTTACACCAAGCAAGATTCATGTAACAATTTTACCGGGTGTCTTGAATTTAAGTTTTATACTGTATACTACGAAAACAGGTAGCCTGTATTTGACATAAACTATTCTTATACATTACTGCAGCTTAAATTCCATCTTTTATAAAGAGATTATGAAACTTATTAATATTTCTAATAAATGATCAGCCTAACTGTTACTAAGTCTCTTTTACATGTTATTTTCATATAACAAAATTTTTACTTAGAATAGTACAAGGGGGGAAAAGTCCATATTCAAAACAAAGAGGCTATAAATTACTTACATACCACCCACAGTTTATGGACGTACCCTCAGTCAAAGGCTCCTTCTTGTTTTGCTTTGTATGTTTTTGCACCCCTGGCTGGCCTGTTATATAAACTAGGCAATCCTTGAACTCCCAGCGATCTGCCAGCCTCTGTCTCCCTAGTGCTGGAAAGGGAAGCTGTGGGGACAGGCTTTGATGATTTGGGTGCTAGAAATTGAAATCTGAGCCTTAGCCTTTAATAGCTGAGCTATCTCTCCAGCCCTCTTTCTAGTTTTAAAATAAAGTCTACAGTTTCCCTTTAATTTTTTTTGTTTGTTTTTTTGTTTTTATGAGACAGGGTTTCTCTGTATTGTTTTGGAGGCTGTCGGTCCAGCCCGGCCTCGAACTCACAGAGATCCGCCTGCCTATACCTCCGGAGTGCTGGGATTAAAGGCGTGCGCCACCACCACCCGGCCTTCCCTTTAATTTTATAAACACAAAAAGTATAGTTTGCAGTCAAAAATTTATAAATAAATAGCTACATGCTAAAGCCTTACAATGATATCTCAATTTCATCTGTGGAAGTATCTGTGAAAGATCAAATATGAATATTCTTTTGTTTCTAATGCTGGTATTCTCTAGACCAGTGGAAGAAAAGGATTCCAGCCTTTACCTTGTCCTCTTTGAAAAGACTGTCACCAGAGACCTGCTCTGGTCTTATCCTCATCCCTCTCTATCTTTCCGTGGACAGTATGGGGAATAAAGGAATTTTAAGCAGATACTGAACTTGGTTGTCAAAGAGTAAGTATATGCAACATTTTACCTATCATTACCTTGATTTTCTCCCAAATACACAACGTGCATCTGCCTATTAGAGTCAAATCTTAACTCTGTATACTGCTCTAATACAACATGATATTATTAGTCACAACAGGTTTCCAGAATGAGGTTAGTTTTCCTTTGCCATGCTTTGTTTTTTGTTTTTTTTTTTTTAAGATGTACTTAAATTTGAGAGCTCTCCATGAGCAATTAAAAATGTTAGTGTTGGGGGGGCTGAGGAGGGGTGGGAGGGAGAATTGTGGTTGGAATGCAAAATGAAATTTAAAAGAATAAATTTTTGAAAAGTGTTAGTATTTTTCTCCCTTATTCTTGTGGCATATTTAATAATTCAAACAAAGGTTTATTATCTGAAATCCTAGAACTTGGGAGGCAGAGGCAGGAAAATCAAGAATTTGGGGCCTAACCTCCAGGTGGTGGCACAGCCTTTAATCCCAGCACTGGGTTGGGGAGGACAGAGCCAAGTTGATCTGTGAGTTGGAAGCCAGCCTGATCTGCAGATCAAGTTTGAGGCCAGCCAGAGTTACACAAAGAAACCCTATGTTGAAAATAAAATGAAACAAAAATAGATAGATAGATAGATAGATAGACAGACAGACAGACAGACAGACTGACTGACTGACTGATTTGGGGGCCAGTATAGGCTATATAACCAGACTGCTTCAAATTTATTTTTAGACAAAAACTGTATTGTATTTTCAATGATATCTCCCCTACAGCTCTTGGTAGTATAGTGTTTATTAGAGTATCATAAAATTACCATCATTTACATGCTACATTTCAAACATGTAATTTTTACTTAAGCATCTAGTACTTACTCAAGGAAGAGCCATGTAGAAGTGCGCAGTTTGGGCAGTGATACAAGTCGATGTCAACAGCGTGATGTTCTTCTACACCAACACAGCTAAGACAAAGACAAACCAAAACAAAACATGAATGAAAAAACTTCATTTAATTATTATAAGGAAATGTCTAGACTTGAGGTGAAAAATGTACAAGAACTCAAATAGCAATTTTGAAACATTTACAAGAATAAATTTTATTATCCTCTCTCTCCATACACTTGCTATAATTGTGGGTGAGAATATATCCAAATGTACATCAAGCTATTCACTTTTTGCAGCAGTGGAAACATAAAAAAATAACACATAAAACCCTCAAGCACTATGTAAATGTCATCTGTTCTGAAATTACTGTCAATAAGAAGAGTCAAAAGGTAAACCATAATGAGATTCTGAACATTAGTTTCATTGTAACAATGAATGTACTCCATAATGTAATTTGTGGATTATAGAATTTGCAAACAGAAATGTATACTCTTAAATGAATGTGTTTGAAAAAGGAAGACCGGCATTATTGAGCTAAGCATATACGCCTCAAAACATTACCAAGAGTATCAAAACAAACCCTTAGAACACAAGTCCCATCAAAATTTCAGTTACATTCTTCACAGAACTAGAAAAGGCAATCCTAAAATACTATAAAAACACAAAAGGAGCCGGACAGTGATGGGGCATGCCTTTAATCCCAGCACTCGGGAGGCAGAGGCAGGTGGATCTCTGTGAATTCGAGGCCAGCCTGGTCTACTGAACGAGTTCCAGGACAGCCTCCAAAACAATACAGAGAAACCCTGTCTTGAAAAACAAAAAAAAAAAAAAACAAAAACCACATGCAATATACACCAGATTATCTACCTATATGCAAATGGCTATTTATAATAGTCTATCAACAATAAAATTACAGTATATTCTCATAGAATTCCATACATAAATGAATATTCAATGAAGAACTACAGCCCTACACAATGAGCAAATAAATTCTACAAATTAGGGGCTGGAGAGATGGCTCAGCATGTTTTGGGTTTTTTTTAATTGTTTATTTTTATTCATGTGCATTGTATTTTTGCCAGCCTATATGTTCCCATGAGGGTGTTGGATACTCTAGAACTGGAGTTACAGACAGTTGTGAGCTGCCATGTGGGTGCTGGGAGTTGAACCCAGGTCCTCTGGAAGAGCAGCCAATGCTCCTAAGCTCTGAGCCGTCTTCCCAGCCCCGGCTCAGCAGTTTATAAGAGGTTGTGTTGCTCTTAGAGGGGACCCCAATTTGGCTCACAGCACCCATGTTAGACAGGTCACAAGTCTCTTAATTCCAACTCCAGAGATCCCCTCTTCCAGCCTCTCTGAGCAGTACACTCAAATGCATAAACCCACACACAGACACACAATTTTTTTGTAATTCTACAAATTAACCCATTACGTTTCTTTTGTTGTTGTTTTTTGGGGGGGGGGGGTTCGAGACAGAGTTTCTCTGTATTGTTTTGGAGACTATCCTGGAACTCACTCTGTAGACCAGGCTGGCCTCGAACTCACAGAGATCCGCCTGCCTCTGCCTCCCAAGTGCTGGGATTAAAAGCGTGCACCACCAACGCCCGGCTCCCATTATGTTTAAAAGGAGAAAAATAAAGAAAAGGGACGCAGCCAGGTGTCATGGCACACGCCTGCTATCCCAGCACTGAGGGTCACCCGCTCAGGGCCATCTTGGGCTATGTAGGGAGACTGTTTTAAGAAGAAAAAATTAAGATAGAAAAGAAGAGTTGGCTGGGCACAGTGGCATACACCTTTAATCCCAGCGCTCAGGAGACAGAGACAAGTGGATCTCCGAGTTCGAGATCAGCCTGGTGTACAGAAAAAATTCCAGGCCAGCCAAAGCTACACAAGGAAACCCTGTCCTAGGGGAGGAGGAATGGGAGAGGCTGAGGAGATGGCTCTGCAGTTAAGAGCATGGCTCTTGGAGAGGATCCAGGCTCCGCTCCCAGCACCACACGGTGGCTCACGGCCATCTGTAACTCCAGTTCCAGGGGTCAAATGTCTTCTTCTAACCTCTATGGACAGCTGGCATGTATGTGGTATAAATCATAAAGCTGAAAGTTCAAGTGTGAGATTAGAACATAATAGTGTACATCTCTATTCCTGACACTTCAGAGACAGAGAGGCAGGAGGACTGTCAGAAGTCCCAGACTAGCCTGGGTCTCTACAGTAAGTTCCGTATCATCCACTCTAAGACAAAGAGACCCTGACACACCCACACACCCACACACACACCCACACACACCCACACACAAAATCAGATGAGGTTGGTTAGCACTGAGCAGCTAAAATGGGATATATAAAAGATCACTGTAAATAAATGAGATTATGTGAGAAATATCTCTGTATGCAATGCAAGAGCTCAAAACCAGACTAGCTGAATTTTGAAAGTGAGGCTCATTAGGTATAATAGATTCTCTTTTTTTTCTCCCACCCCCCTTCTTTTTTTCACCATAGGGTTTCTCTGTATTGTAACCAGAAGTTTCTCTCCTGCCCACCAGTTCCTGAATAACCACTCAGAGGCTTATATTAATTACAAATATTTGGCCAGTGGCTCAGGCTTTTACTAACTAGCTCTTACAACTTAAACTGACCCATTTCTATTCATCTGTGTATCGCCACAAGGCCGGTGGCTACTACCTTACACCTTGTTTCTCCAGTGACTGCTGGCATCTCCCAGACTCCCCAAATTTCCCTGTATCATTGTTTGGATTTCCTTCTGGCTCTGTTCTGCCTGGTTACTGGCCACGCCAGCTTCTCTACTAACCAATGACAATAAAACATATTCACAGCACACAGAAAGGCATCCTATATTACTGTATAACAACCATGGCTGACCTGGAACTCTCTTTGTAGATGAGGCTGGCCTTAAACTTACAGAGATCTGCCCCCCTCAGTCTCCCAGGTACTGGGATTAAAGGGGTGCACCACCACAGCCTGTTTGTGTAGTAGATTCTCTACTCCCAACCAGACAGAAACTTAAACCCATAGAAACCCACCTAGCAAGCACTTCTAGAAAGATGTGGATTGTCTTGTCTGTCCTTGCCCTGATTTGACTATCACATTTCTTCTCCTTTAAAAAATGATGGTAATATCAAAAGAATTAACTAATATGTTCTGGAAAACCTAAACTGGCTCATATCATCAACTCATCTACAAACATCTGAAGTACATAAAGGTGACTCCCACAATACTGAGGGAAAGAGGAGGCAGGGGTATTCCAACTAGTTAAAGGCATTTAGGGCAAAATTTGACTATTCTCAAAACTTCACAAGTTCCCTCTCCAGCTTCTCACACCACCTCACTCCATTTATCTGCCTTACTAAAATGCAGTGAGCTAGCGTGGTGACGCACATCTCCAACACTAGCATTAGCACAGCTGAAGGGAGGGTCAGAAGTTCAAGATCATCCTTGATACACAGTGAGTTCAAGGCCAACCTGGGTTACATGAGACTGTCTCAAAAAGCACAAAATAACATATATTTTTTTTAAGATTTATTTATTTATTATGAACACAACACCCTGCCCCCATGTATGCCTACACATCAGAAGAGGGCACCAGATCTCATTACAGATGGTTGTGAGCCACCGTGTGGTTGCTGGGAATTGAACTCATGACCTCTGGAAGAGCAGTCAGTGCTCTTAACCTCTGAGCCATCTCTCCAGCCCATAATATATACTAAGACATAAAATATAACACCAGTGATGTGTTCTACTTTTGGCTAATTCCCATCAACTAGCAGAACACACCTAAACTGATTTAGAAACTTAGCAAATTTGGTCACTCAGAAACAGTCAGTTTGGTGGTTGGAAAGACACCTAGGGTTAAAAGCAGTTGCTGCCCTTGAGGACCCAGGTTCGGCCCCCAGCACCCATATGGAGGCTTACAACTATCTATAAGTCCTGTCCTAAGGGATCTGACACCCTTTTCCTCTGTGGGCACCCATACATGTGCATAGTACACTTTTATACATGTAGGCAAAATGAATACACCTGAAAAAAAGGTATCTTTAAAATAGTAAATTTGGTAAGTGACTAAATCTGGAAAGGCACATTTAAATTAATCATACAAACTATAATTTTAGAACTAAATGTGATGTTTCACAACCAACACACTCTTCTATCAAGCCTACCCATTTCTCCCTCCTTACTGCTCACTCAAAGAACCCTACATCGCTCTAAGAAACAGTAAGAGAAAGAAAGACAGCAGGACTCAGGAGACAGATGCACAACTCTGAAAGCAAAGTTTTAAGGTGTTTTTTAATCTGGCACAAAACCTTTAGTTTCTCCTTTATTTCTCTTTTTAAACTTCCCTTTCCATAACAAACTGTCACGGTTTTCCTAACAACAGAAAACTCAACTGTTTACTAGACCATTGTATATGTGTGGGGAATGAGGGGTCTTGCAGGGTGACAATATGACCTTTGCCAAATAGTTTCCATCAATGAACAACCTCACTGTCATTTGGTGAATGGAGTGGTGACAACTTTAGCAGTTTATATTGTCTTATCTTCTGAAATTGTTGCTTAGTTGGCTCTGGGGGTTGGGAGAGTAGGGAATGGACACTTGATGTGAACAGAATTGAATTAATGACTACAATGCACCAGGGTCTGCCAAACATTTTCCTCTCTTAGACAAAGCACCCGTCTAAATTCTCTACTCTGGGAGCTGTAACAGTGGGTGGTCAAATTCTTTTAAGAGCCTATGACAGTAGATTCCATTAGATTGTACTCTTTTCAAATCATCTTTCCATTTGTCGCCAAGTAGCCTTGCTCTCATCTTTAAAACCCAGAGCAAATTCTTCCTCCTGGACATAAGCATCCACATGGAACATCCTTCCACATTTTACTGATACACATTTCTATTTTCTAAATTCAGTTCCCTAGGACTTTTGTTATTAATTAGTCACAGATTCTACCCAAAAGTCAAAGTTGTAATAGTTTTTAAAACTTCACTCACTCAATTTGAAACTAAAGGCAATAATTTGTATAAAAACAAGGATTCTTCTATATAAATTTTCATCTTTCTTCAGGTGATA